TTTATTCACACAGATTATTCGGGATAATTTCCTAAGATCAGAGCTGTTGCTTAATTTTAGAGACTTTGTTTAGGATAGCCTTTACATATTATTATTTTTTAAATTAAAAGTTCAAGAATGTGAAAGAAATACTCTGAGTAATTTACCATTATCACACAGTAGTTTACTTATAATAGAGGCAATTTTTTTAAGATTATGGTAGTCTACTTATTTTACATTTCCTTCTTTAAAAAAAAACACACACAAGTATATCAGTTCAGTTTTAAATTGTTGCCAAGGGCCTTTTTTTTTTTTTTTTTTTGAAGTGTTATATAAAAGGAAAGTTACATCTAGGAAGTTTGCCAGCTATATTAGATAAGAAAATTGCTTTGTGAGTGAGTATCAGTGAGTACATTTAGCCTCTATGTTTATCGTCACCAGTATTTAGATTATTTCATGTCAGTGAACCTATTTATACAGTTTATGTAGATACTCTGCTTTTACCAGCATATAGGACAGACTTAATAACCATTTTTAAAGCCCGTTATTTTATTATTACAATCAACAGACAAAATGATTCTGTCAAATCTATGTACGTATGTATATTTCCATGTCTATATATATTTTTAAGCAATCTCAAACTCACAGGAAAGTTGTAAGTACTGGAGTTTGGTGTTTTCCACTATTTGAGAGTGATTTGCCATGATGGTGCCACACTGCCCTCAGTACTTGAGGGTGTTTTCTAACAAGCAAGAATATTCTCCCACATAACTGTAATAGAACATAGAAATCACACACATAGCATTGATAAATTGCTTCTGCCTAAGCTGTAGACCAATTGTCCAAATAATGTTCTTTACAAAAAAGGAGCTAGTTCAGAATTACACATTTCCTTTGGTTGTCCTGTCTCCTTGATTTCCTTCTGTCTGAAACAGCATCTCACTCCTTCCTTCACTTTTTTGTCCTTGGTGCTTTGGAAGACTACAGGCCAGTCATTTTCTAGACTGGCCCTTGTTTGGGTTTGATGTTTCGTCGTGTTGGATTTGGATTATATATCTTAGGCAGGACTAACAGAAGAGATGACCTTTTCTGGCAGGGAGCACACTGTTGCGGTTATTGCTGATGCTCACTTTGATCACATAAATAAGATGTTATTTATCAGCCTTCTGCACTATAAAGTTACTTGTTTCTCTTTGTAACTAACAAGTACTTTGTGTAAGGTCATTTGTAACCATTTCTCACTGGACTTAGCATTTATTTATCATCTGTGAGTGTCATCTAAAAGTCAGACTGAACAGGCGTCTGGTCAGAGAAGCAAGTAAAATGAGGACTTGGGAGATTTTTGATGCAGAGAGGCAAGTTTTGAGTAGAGGGAAAGGATTCACTTTAGTTCAGGTGGAGAAGCTTAGACTACCAGTGCTTGGAAGAACTCCAAGCAAAAGAACTTGCTAGAACACTGTGTTTCAAACTGTGAATCATAAAATCAGTTTAGTAGGTGGCCTCTGAAAAAGTCATTTTTTCCTACTAACCTAACCAAAACTATAAGACAAGTGGAAAGTAAGATGAATACAGATTGATTTGCATTGTTATTCTCAGCTCTCTTGTGAGAAAATAGTCTGTGGACTTGCTGAATTCATACCATCTCTCATGAGTGATAGACTTTGATTTCATTCTTTTTGTTATTGTTTTGTTAATCCTCATCCAAGAATATTTTTTACATTGATTTTCAGATAGAGTGTAAGGGAGAGGGGGAGAGGAGAGAGAGAGAAACATCAACGTGGGACACATCAGTTGGTTGCCTCCCATATGCACCCAACCGGGGCAGGAGATTGAACCTGCAACCCACGTATGTGCCCTTGACTGGGAATTGGACCCGCAATCCTTTAGTGTAGGGCTTATGTTCTAATCATTGTGAAACACTGGCCAGGGCAACCTTGATTTTTTTATTGAACTTCTCTTGTAATGCAAACAAGCATATAAATAGCACGCTTCTCAGTAAATGTTAAATGTATTTATGTAATGATGGATCCAACATTTGTCAAAGTGACATCAGGGTTGATGAAAAATGATTGATTTTTGGAGATCCAGACTTCTAAGGAATCCTCCACTTAGACATCTTTCATGGGGAAGTGGAAGCATTGAATATCTATTTATCACTCATGCAACATGCTCTGTCATCAAGAAATCCCAGGATTCTGTGTTCGTGAAAAAGGCAGTGACAGAGCACCACCAGAAATGCTGCAAATAGGATAGTATTAGGACCTTATCCCTCTTCTTCAGCTTTGTACTCTTTCTCTGTTCTTTCTGTTTGCAATCCTTCTTCCAACTCCTAACACATACTCAATACACCACACACACACACACACACACACACACACACCCATGAGCTCTGGGTAAAAGTACAAATGAAGCAATCGGAAATATAACTGTATAAAGCAAAGAAAATTTAAAAGCTAAAAGAATGTTAATTTATCTTTTAATTTTTAAAATACAGCAGAGCTCTGGCAACTGATGATAATTAAGAAAAGCTCTTTTCAGACTTATTAGATAATGATTTCATGATCTAATTTTTCTTTCATTAGAAGAGTGTGTGATAATATTATCATTAGCAGAAGAAGGTTAAAAGAGAACAGTAGTACTTCAAAAGATGCCATTAAGAAAAGGAAAAGGCAAGGCACATACTGGGAGAAAATACTGGCAATGCAGTCTAACAATGGGTTTGTAAACTGGACGAAATCTTAAGAATCAATAAAGACAGTCACAAACATATATATATTAATTGCCTAAAAGCACTTGATATGTTCCACATTATTAACTATTAAGAAAGTGCAAGTCAGAACTACAGAAATTAATAAAAGGAAGGAGAATGGCAATATCAAGTAAGGACAGGATGTGAAGCACTGAGTACTCATACTTAGCTGGTATTGCCATAATCATTGTACCACTACTTTGGAAAAAACAGTTTGGCATTTCTTATAAAATTGAGCATTCACTTATTATTTGAACACTGTACCTCCACTCTAGGTATTTGCATAGTGCAAATTTATTTACCACCAAAAAGCCTTGTGTATGCATAACAACTTTATTCATACTAGTAAAAAATGGGGAGGAAAACAACAAAAGTTCAATCAATGGGAGAGTGGATAAACAAATTGTGGATATTCATGCAGTGGAATACTACTCAGCAATGAAAAGAAATGGGCTACTGATACAGGCAGTAATATGACAATTTCAGAAACATTATGCTGAGTAAAAGAAGCTAGGCACAAAAGAGTATACATTATATAATTCCATTAAATGAAATTTAAAAAAATATTGATATATTGTGATCAAATCAGATCATTACTTGCCTGGGTTTGACTGCAAAGAGGAATTGAGGGACATTCTGGAATGATGGAAATATTCTGTAATGATGGGTTACCTAAATGACCCAACTCAAAGAATTGTGCAATTAAAATGTGTGTATTGTATTGAACACAGGCTATATATTTCAGTAAAAACTTTTTAAGTAAAAAAAGAGCTCTAGACCCTATACTTTGATTTCTTTGGCATTTGGGAGATAGCAGACTTAACCTCCCTATAGAAACTCTCCTGATTATCTTTGATAATCTTTGCCCTGGACATTAAATGGAAATCTTTTCACTAAGATAAAGCCCAGGATATGGGTGGAATACGTGCCCAGGACTCAGACAGCATAACTGGGCTGTTCGTCTTGTAGAAATAAATATGGGAGCACCTGAATGGGTCAGTAAACAGTAGCCCATGCTGCTTGCTTTTGTACCTCCTTTGAGCTACCAATGTTTTTTATATTTTAAGGGGTTGTTTAAAAAACAAAAACAGCTCAGCCAGCATGGCTCAATGGTTGAGCATCTACCTATAAACCAGTAGGTTACTGGTTCTATTCCCAGTCAGGGCACATGCCTGGGTTGTGGGCTCAATCCCTAGTGTGGGGCATGCAGGAGGCAGCCAATCAATGATTCTCTCTCATATTGATGTTTCTATCTCTCTCTCCCTCTTCTTTCCTCTCTGAAATCAATAAAAATATATTAAAAAATACACAACATGCTAAAGATATATGTGTCCCTCAAAGCTGAAAATATTTACTCTTTGGACTTTTACAGAAAAAGTTTATTAATTCCTTTTCTTTACTCTTTGATCAGCACACCATGCCTACAGTAACTGAGACAATTTTTTAAAAACTTCTAATGAGTATCTTCTTTAAAAGTTATACACCAGCAGAGTTTGAAGTGCTAAGTGGTATATATTATGCATACAACCTTGTTTCCTTTCCTTTGAAGATGAAGATGAACCCTGAATTAAATGTTATGACAGCTGTTTCCCTAGGAGCACTGGATTTGCTATGAATGGGCCTCTTTGGCTCTGTACCTGCCATCTTGGTTAGAATGATGTTAAAGATTGTGAATTCAGAACATCTGTGAGACTCTCCCAGCCATTCTGCAAAACATGCCAACTAAATGTTTCTGCTTTGCCCCAGTGGAATAAATGGGAGGAGTCATTTTTACCCTTTAGCCTTTTGGAAAGTGGGAGAGTAGTTTAGAAGATGTTTGAGAAGGTTATAGAAGGTGATTATCTTGTCTATTAGATTAGAGGATCCTCACTACAGATTCAACAACATTAAGATTTCCCCCATAGAGTGCACTAGAACCCACATCACTCAAGAACTTCCCACCTTCTCCTGTCCTTAGCTCCTGCCTCCCATGATCTTATTAGCCTGGTGACAAACCACTGTGGATCTTTTAAAATTAAGTTAGGTGCCCTGAGCATCTTTTTATTCCAAATACCGTCGATGAACCTGGGGATAATGGGACATCTAAAATTGCTTTAGGAAAGGTGCTGCCTCTTTGGGGATGCCTCTGTGCTCATGATCCACACATTCAAGGTGAAGGACCAGAGAAACTGTGGTGACAGTGCATGGACAAGAACCAGCAGCAGCCTGATGTGAGCTAACCCCTAAGTGAAAGTCTGTGAATGTTTATGTGACTTCTCTCTCTTTTCTTCAGGCCTATTCTGTCTACGACGAAGACATTGGGTACTGCCAAGGACAGTCTTTTCTTGCTGCTGTATTGCTTCTGCATGTAAGTAATTTTCCATGTGATAAATGGTATGGTGCTGCCAAGTTTAGTTTATTTTCTACTTAGTTTTGTCCTCCCTCCTTATTTTCCATTTACCTGATGGAAATTACCCATGGCATATCTTTTTTAGAAACGTATCTTTGGTGATAAAGTAAGAGATCTGAAGTCTTTTTTTGAAGTCAAGAACAGGACAGTTCCTCATTAGCATTAATTTTGTTGGCTAGAAGGGAATAAGTGGTTATTTGAAGTTATTTTTTACTAGAACCCTCTAAAATTAAAGAAGTCAATGTACAATAGCTGCCCCCCAAAATGAGCAGGTTCAGGACCGTTATGAAAGAATGTGACAAGGAGGCCTTTTGTCTTTTCTGTGATTTATTTTTGTATACTCTCTTTCTTCTTAGTCACTTTTATTTAACAGAATATTCCTTGAGCATCTGTTGTCAGTCCTGGGCTAAGGAGGTGGGATTACAAATATGAATGATTTATGGTTTGTGCTCTCAAAGGTCTCATGGTCCAGGGTGGGGCACAGAGAATGCAGGCACATACTTATTATTTTTATTCTTATGCCTTTACTGATTTTCCTTAGGTTTATTAAAGAACTTATAGTGTGCTTAGTGAAAGCAATACACAGAGTCAGAGAATAATAGAAGAATAATCCAACCCAGAGCTTTCAGAAAGACTTTCTGGAGGAGGCAGTAGCTTTGCCAAGACACAAATAATTGAGGTTGGGGGAGGCAAGAGGAGAAAGGGAGGGAGTAGAGATCGTTAGACAAAAGGAACAACATGAACGAATGTATGAAAACACAGAAGGGCACAGCATATAAAGCGAATGATATGAAATTACAGTTCCTATAGGAATTGTATGCAGGAAAGGCACGAGGCAAAAAATGGTCATATGGGAAGGCACCAAATTACGAAGACTTTGTAATCATGTCAACAAATGTGGGCTTTAGAATAAAGCAAAGGAGGAACCATTGATTAGTGTCAAGTGAGGGAATGGCAGTCAGACGTTCATTTCAGATATATTCTTTATTACTCCCTTTATTGGGCAGAACTGAAGGGAATGAGCAGCAGTAGAAAGGAAAGGAAATATCAATCTAAATGAGAGATATTGAGACCCAGAGAAAGAGAAACAGAATTAAGAAACATGCAGGAGGCAAAATTGGTAGGTTTTATGTATGCATTGACAAAGAAGGATTCTAGTATCTAGAATTGTCAGGTCCCTACCACAAGGGGCTGGAGGCTGTAAGCAAAGACATGATGGGTTTACCAGCACTCAGTGCTATTGTTCCTCTACAAGGAGCCTTTGTAGTGGCTCTTATGAAAGCTGATGTTCAAGCTGTGGATGGTGATGCTTTGTATTTCTAAAGTAGTCACTGAGTATATCACAATCTAGCATTTAGCATTTAACTGTAGCCCAGTGAAACACATTGTAATATATTGATTGAAGTTCAATAAGAAGAATATCTTGCTGAGAAACCTGTTCTGAGATTTAACAGTTTTAGATACTTGTAAAATTGTTTATATTTATTTGGAAACACCTCTCCCTCTGGGGGGGGGGGGTGGGGAGAGAAAGAGAAGAGTGAATCAAATAGTCAGAAAATTCAAATACCCCGAATTGTTTTCTATGTTATGTCTTCTCCTATTATAAGGGTCATATGGTCAGTCAGCCATTGTAAACTTATTCAACAAAATTGCTTTTAAAGTATGTCATAAGATGGATAGAAATTCAGTTCAGGCTCTTACAGTTTGTCCATTAGTAGAATTATGCAGTTTTTGCCATGACTTATAAATAACTTGAAATACAGAAATGCCTTCAGCATATTTGAGGAAAGATGAACTGATATTCAGCACAGTGGTAATGAAAAATATACTGTAATTTTTAATTGAACAACATGTGTAATACTTCTGTTAATCGGTATATTCCATTAATTGACCAACTCAACAATTTAACCAAATTGAATAAGAAAAGTTAACTCATTTTTTTCTCCCATATTTTTGCCTCCATGGTTTAAATAGGTTGAAAAATACAGTCTAGTTTAAACAATTCATCAAATGCACTATCTCAGGTTCCAGGGAGCTATGTTATTAGGGTCCTACTAATTTTTTATCAGTTACATAAGCTATTGCTTCTTTTTGCTGCCAGACATTCTCTGGCAGCTCCGCATTAATCATTGTCAGAACCTGCTTCTTTGGGGATGCTGTCTCTTCCTCCCCCATGGTCATTTATATTTCACATGCACTGCCTAAGAGGAGAGAAAGACCAAAAGTGAAAGTGTGTTCAAAAACAAAAGTTTAGAATTTTTGTGTTTTTCCATTTCTAGTAATTTTAGGAAATAATTACCTTCCTGCTTGAAAATTTCCAAAGGCTTTGATAATAGCTTTGTTACTTGTTATAGTTTAAACAATGAAAGAAGTATTTATCACAGTAGATGCTGTTGTATCTATTGATGAGATTACAGGAAACTGATCATTTAGAGTTGAATAACAATGTTATAGCATGGATTACTTATAACCATTATATGTTCACTTGCCTTTGAAGTTAAATATGCAATAATTATTAGCAATATGATTATTATGGTGTTAGTCTTTACTTAATAAAAATATGATAATTTCCTTTCATATACTTCAATAATTCTAAAAATCATATAACATATTTTAGATAATTTTAACCCAATATATTTTTACTAACATATATGTGTTTTATTTACAAATAAAGTAAGTTATAAAAATTATGAAACCTTTAATGCACCCCTCAAAAAGACAGGTTTAGGATAAGATTTAACCAATAGACTTAAGATTAAAATGGGAAGCAGAGCTACTTGGTTTTTTGAAAATAAAGATTCCACGGAATCGAAGGTAACAAGGTAGAGGCGTCCAAGTGTTTCTATAAGTTAGAGTATTTGTGTGTTTATGCTATTGAGGACTCTGTTACTTGACATAGCCTTAGCTCAAAGCTGCTTAATTTAAGAAGGAACTTTACTGGCTCACCTAACTGGAAGTCCAGGGTAGGGGTGATTTTGAGATGGCTGGATTCCAGAATTGCCCAATCAGGAATCTGTGGCTCTGAATCTCTGTTTTGTTTAAATTTTCTTGCTTTAATTATATGAATTGGCCACAAATGTGTAACATGTCTGCAGACTGGCCTGGCTCATATCCTTTCAGTTTTATAACTTCATTTAAAAGGGACCAGTTTTTTGCTATAGCTCCTGCTTAAGAAGAGGAAGAGGAGGAGGAGGAGCAGGAGGAGGGAGGGGGGGAAAAGGGGGGAAGGAAGGGAGGGAGGGAGGGAGGGAGGGAGGGGGGGCAAAAGGGGGAAGGCAGGGAGGGAGGGAGGGAGGGAAGGAGGAAAGAATTCCTGGAGGATTCTGATTGGCCTTGGGAACCTACTGTTCCTGAATCAGTTGCTAAGGCCAGGAAGGTAGGATGTTCTGATTAGCCCTGTCCAGGCCTTTAGTCTCCCTCAGTTGCTGACAGTGAGCTGATCAGCTCCTCCTGAGCAGTTGAGGGGTTCTCTAGAGGAAAGGGGTTTTGATACCAGATGATAGGGACATAGGATGCTAGACAGACACAGCACATCATTTTATAGTGATGTCCTTACTATAGGAGTTTTAGTACATTTTTAATAAGCCCTTTTATGCTCCCAAATAACTTCTTTCTTATAATCCTAGAGATTTTCCTGTTCTAAGTTCATTCTTGCATCAGTGCCTTTGGGGCCATTTCTCAATATTCTCTTCCTGTGTCCTGTAAATATATTCAAGACATTTTTTTTTGTTTTGTTTTGTTTTTGTTTTAAATCTTCTGTTGATCCTTCCATTATAGATAACTTAAATTTCTCTGCCCTTTCAAAGCTGAACTCATTCAAAGGATAGTAAAAACCACAACTATAAATTTGAACTATGGTTTCATACCTTTCAACTTATATGGTCTTGGGCAAGTTTCCTAAACTCTCTGAGGTTCAGTGTTGTTGTTTTTTCATATATAAAATGGAAACAATATTATTATATTTCTAGTATTCTTATGAATATCGGATACCTTATATCATGAGCATGAAGGATCCTATTTTGTATCTGACACGAAAAGAGTGCAGCTGTGGGATTAAATCCAGGCTTTACTTAATAGATGTGCAGTTATTGGCAAATCACTTAACTTCATTGAACTTGACTCATCTAGTATTTAAAATGTAAAAATAATGCCTACGTTACAGAATGTGGTAAGGATCAAATGGGATCATGAGTGAATGCCTCTAATAACAGTAGCTACTACTATTCTTTCTAAAATTAATCATTATTTGCCCAGTCAGTTTTCTTTGGACCCTGGTCCCATTAGCTTAAATTTACCACACATTAATAGACTATGTTGTATACTATGTTTTATAGCTTATAAATACACATTTAATTTATATGTATTTTAGCATATATTTACTTTACAGGGAAAACAACCAGCTGGAAGTTTTCATTCTATTTGCTGATCAATGGGAGAACAGAAAATAAAAACTCATGAGTTTCAAAACAATCACTAGCATCTACCTTTGTTGAAGAAACCCAGAAAATTGGTAGAATGTTCAGTGCCTTCAAGGACAAAGGTAGATTGCTTACAAAAAGATATGAAACAACCATGCGGAACAGAAATTTAGTTTTATCCTAAATAAGAGTATTATTTTATATTATCAACAGATAATTTTACTTCAAAAAATGTCTTGATTTGTAACTTCAGTCTTTAAGACTCAGCTGAAGTCTTGATGTAAGACTTCAGCTGAGTCTTAAAACTTTTGAAGTACATAAGGCTGCTTTGTTTTGTGGTTCACAGCAGAGAAAAGCAACGAAGCTTGGAGATTGTCTCCGTTCAGTGATTATCTTTGTTAGTACAGATCATTGTCAATATTTGTTACCAAACAGTGATTTCATCATACTTGATTCTCATATTGTACATGTGAGGCAGGTATTTAACTTTGTATTTCATAGAGCCATGGATGACATTGTGTTATCTTAAATTAAAAGATTTAAATGCTTATCTCCTCCTTTCCTCAATAAAACAACACTGATTCCATGACAAAGCTCCTGCACATAGCCAAGAAGGATATGCAGTATTAAGAGACCCATCATGTTATAACATCTCATATTTAATTTAAAAAGGTATTGTTCAAAGACTTATTTTTGTACTTCAGACCAATTACATACCAATGATAAAATTGTCATGTCTAATTCAATGAAACATTGTTTTTATAAATTAGTTATTTTAATGCTTTAAAAAAAAGCTGGCAGTGACACAATATTACATAGTAGGGAACCCACTCTTGTAGTAAGGTGAGGTTGACAGTACAGCTAGGTGTTGATTCTCAGATCTTGATTGAGAATGCTAATTGAGTGGCAAGCTTAATAGCCAATACAAATTACAGATAATAGGGAAGATTTTTATATTTAGCATTTATAATATTAAAAGAGATCAAGAACTGATATAGTTACCTTTGGCTGCCTTTTGCTTCCCCTTTCACACCCATCCTTTCCCTCTACATTTTTGCTGGCTCTTACCTTTGCAGTTGTCACAGATTGCCCTACTTGTCTATGTGCCTTCATTGATGAAGGCAGATGTATTCAGTTTTGCTAAAGTTATCCTAAACAAATATTTAATACTTGATATTTAAGTCTGTATGCTAAGATCTTTAGGGGATGCAAAGTTAAAGCACACTCCTAGGTTAGTAAGAGCATAAAAATAACTTCACTACATGTCACAAGAGCTTTGGAAGTCAGAGAAAGCAAAAGTTAGTGAAGAACAGAGACTACAATATTGCATATACGTCTCTCTGAATTCTTTCAGCTTATTGAGACCTCAATTTGTTTATTTTTAAGTTTTTATAAACTGTGGCAAAAGAACCCTAATATTTATTTTTTACTTTCCTAATTCAGAATTTTTAATGCTGTATTTAAACAGAGTCTAAGCTTTGGTTTTCCTTTTCTCAAATAAGCCCACTTCTATATTATGATGCAACCAGTGGCCCAGTGCATGAAATTCATGCATGGATTTCCCTCAGCCCAGCCTGCACCCTCTCCAACCTGGGATCCCTTGGAGGATGTCGGACATCCCTTACACAATCCGGGACTGCGGGCTCCTAATCACTCACCTGCCTGCCTGCCTGCTTGCCCCCAACTTCCCCCACTGCTGGCCTGCTTGTCCCCAACTGCCAACCTGCTCACTCCCAACTGCCCCCACCCTCTCTGGCCTGATCACTCCCAACTGCCCGCCCTTCCTGGCCTGATCCTCCCTAATCACCTCTGCCTTGGCCTCACCACCATTGCTTTGTCCGGAAGATGTCTGGAAGGTCTTCAGTATATTACCCTTTTATTAGTATAGATATCATTGACAAGATTTTGGGAAGAATACTTAAAATTAAAATATGGACCATTTTCACATCTCAAAAGTTTCAGAAACACTTATTACCTAATTTACTAATAACAAATTATTACCTATTCATTAAAGCAAGCCATTGAGATCCACTAATTTGATTTAAACTCTTTAAAAATAATGAAGTTGCATTCTTTAGAAATAGTCTACACTAAGATTTCTTCCTTTGTTCAAAATGCCTTAATTAAATTAAATTAGTAGTAATTTGAAATAGAGAGAGCACTGTTTATGTGTGTGTGTTTTGTATAAGAGCACTGTTTTGTTTGTGTGTGTGTGTTTTGTATGAGAGCACTGTTTTTCGGTTACCAAATCTAGTCAACTTTTTCAGCAAACAGGCAACAGATAATGAAAATCTCTATATTCCTTGTGCTGCAATTGTATAACACCAGCCAGGGGGACATCAGTCTTTCACAGGTTATAACGTTCTTGAGAACAAGGCACTGGCCAGGCTTTTCCTCCAAAAGCAGCTGAAGCAAATAAGGGCTGAAAAAAATTGCAGATCTCTTCTCGTGTCTACTTTTTGCATGAGAGCTTCTTTGGGGACCGGATTACAAGGAGCCCCAGTTGTGAGGCATGAGTGGGCTTATATGGTCAAGAAGAAAGAGTCTCAGGAAGTCACTTAGGTAAACACAACGGGGGAAGTTAGAACATAGTGAAATCTTTCTTTTTGTTAATCACATTGTAGTTTTTTCATTTCTACAGCCTAAAATTTGGAAGTCACAGCCCTATTAGGTTCTTATAAGTGCCCCATGGGGCATCTGCACTTTTTCTTTCTTTTTATTTAATTGAAATTTTTTTATATTTTTCAATTACAGTTTATTATAAATATTATACTGTATTAGCATAGTGGTTAGACTATTATATACTTTACAGAGTATTCCTCCTGTTATTTCCAATGACCACTGGCACCATGCATAGTTATTTCAATATTATTGTCTATATTCCCTGTGCTGTACTTTACATCCCCATGTGTATTTTGTAACTACCAATCTGTACTTTTCAATCCCACCACAATTTAGAGATTGTTTCTTTGATTTCAGACTTTATTCTTTATTCACAAAAAATACTTCTGGGAGGGTATATTAGATTTTATTGGTCATTTGAACCTTAATGGTAGAAGCACACAAGATTCTTCCTGGAAATTGTTTTTTTATAGAAAGAAAAATAGCAACACTAAGAAGATTCTGGGAGGACAGTATTGCACTATTTATCCAAACTAAAAATGTGTTTATCCTTTGATCAAGCAATCCCTCTTTGGAAATATTACTGAGTTAAAAAGCCAGCTATTTTTTATGTAGAAAAGGCAAAAAATAAAATAAGAAATACAATTATTTTACTTGCATAGAGAAACATTTGCAGGATACACAAGACATTATTAAGAGTAGTTATGAATTTTGCAAAAGTGATGGGATCAGACACAGGGGTTAGTGTCCTGGGCATAGAGAGGAGTGAGACTTCTGCCTTTTGTACTTTTACACTGTTTTTAGTTTTGAATCACGTGGCTGTGTTACCTATTTTTAAGGTGATGTAGTGAATGAATAAATGAAGGATGATTAAATTAACAAAAGAGGGAAGATCATCTCAAGTGAAGAAGTTACTAGCTGTGAAAAAAGATTTTATTGTAACAATGCAGAAGGCTGGCTCTGAAGCACTTCATTCATTACAGGCATTCAGCTATTAATGTAGAAGATTAACAACATGAAGAAAATGTCTGACATTCTGGCCAAATGCCACTCAGTCATGCTCTGTATATATGTTTTTCTGTAGATGCCAGAAGAACAAGCATTCTGTGTTTTGGTGAAAATCATGTATGACTATGGTTTACGAGATCTCTACAAAAACAATTTTGAAGATCTTCATTGCAAATTTTATCAGTTGGAGAGACTATTGCAGGTAAATAAAAGTTTGGGACTTTTATCTCTCAGGGATTGGTTGTGTTACAGAAAAAGTCTAATAAGATTAATGAACAATCATGATTTATGAAAATTTAATGGAATTCTACAGAAAATGCATATGGATTTGGTTTCTGACCAATATCTACATTGGTGTTAATATTATAAAATATTTGTTTAACCATTTGACCGCTTGGAAAAATATCGTCCTTTTTAAATAGTCAATTTTAATACACTTTGGATGAGAATATAATGAGTTAAGTCAATGAAGAGATTGTTGAATATTATTTGTAAATAAATAAAGATATTTACAGAGTAAAAATTGAAATATTTAAGAGTTTTCTCTGTATTAATTATCATGGGTACCCATACCATGTTTAGGTCTACATATAGAGAATACTTTGAAAAGATAGAAAGATATTGATAGGAGGTAAAAAACATGTAAAATATTTTAATGTGGAGACATATTTTAAAAATCTTCCCACATAAGATGAAGGGGTTAAGGGAAAAAAACCTCCTAGACACAGACAACAGTATGATGATTATAAGAGGGAATGGGAAGGTAGGGGAAGTAGAAGAGGTAAAAGAGAGTTGAATGGTGACAGAAGGAGGCTTGACATTGGATAGTGAACACACAATACAATATACAGATGATGTATTATGTAATTGTACATCTGAAACCTATATAATTTTATTAACCCATGTCACCCCAATAAATTCAATAAAATTTTTTTTAAATTCCTGCATAATTTCCTGATCTTAGAGTTGTTCCTATTTTATAATATGTATGTATAAATTTAAACACATGAAGAACATATTTATATCAAATATTACATAATAAAAAAGATTGTAAGGGCAAAATTATTGATTAGTGCTGACAAAAAAAAATGAGTAGCTTTGGAATTCCACTGAGATTAGAAATCATACCTTTATAATGGATCTTTGTATTTTCTTTATGAGGTATTGAAAACGCAAGAGAAATGTGAGAAAAAAAATTCATGAAAGGATTTATTCCATATTGGGGAAAAGTGAAATGTTTGGGGAGTAAGGTTAGTGGGATGTGGCAGTAGAAGATCTTGGCATGACCTGTCTGGAGATCCACAGGTGTTTGGAAAGGGAAGTGAAGCCAGTAAGAGACTGTGGGAACAGGGAGTGGAGACGGAGAGTTTTCAGTGAGCTAAAGGATGGCTTTCCTGGGAGAAGGGAATGTAGGAGGGTGGGAGTCCTCAAATGGGAAGAAGAAACAAAAGGGTGGAAGGATGTCAAATAAACTGTAAGCCCAATGACAAATGGGCTTTGTGAGGAGGAAAGAAGGAAGAGGATCTGGTAACTAAGGGCATTAAAGCTATAGGCTCTTTTTTTAGAGATTTAATTCTTCCAAGAAAAGTTTTGTTTGGGATTATTTGATTTTCAACTTATTATAAAAGCTTATATTTTTTTTAAAGGTCACTATCCTTAAGCACTTTGAGGGTCAAATAATTGTACCTGATAATTGAATGGCAAATTCGTGGTACTGTGAAGAAACCCAAGCACACCCAGGCCAGTGTTCTCAATGGTTAGAGCTCCGGCCTGTGCACTGAAAGGTCACAGGTTCAATTTTTGATCAAGGGGACATACTTGGAGTGTAGGTTTGATCCCTGGCCATGGTTGGGGCATGTGCCAAAGACAACCAATTGGTGTATCTTTCTCACATCTATGATTATCTGCTCTCTTTCATTCTCTCCCTAAAACATGGAAAATATCCTGGGGTGAGGATTAACAAAAGAAACAAAACAAACCCAAGCACATTTTTCTGTTAGCACCTTCTGTCTGTTAATCGGATGACCATTGAGCACCTCAGTTAAAGTACTAGATAGGCACATTTGGGTGTTTTTCAAAGAGCATCTTGTACAAGAAGTGGGCTTTTTGTTTTGTGGTCTGCTTATGAAAACAAAATGAAAGTGGGCTTTTATGTTTGCCTTTGTCTTTCAGTTATGGGAATTCTGTACTAATGCTGTGTACTTGGCCTTTCACGCTTTTGAAATGCATTTTCTGGTATAACTTGGGCAAAAAGATAATACTACCGTAAAGACATTTTAAGGAGACATTCAATTTCATACATAATACACTTGCAGTTTCTGTACTTTGCCATTATTTTAAGATCCCAAAGATAGTTTTTTAAAATATTGCTTATGTTTTGGCCTTTTCTAAGTTTGAAAAAATATACTGAAGTGATAGCATAAAAGCCAGATAATGTTGACAACAAGTACATCTCTTTTCTAGCTAGTCAGGAGTTGAACAAGAGGGATATGGGGGTGGGGAAGGTAAAAGACGTAAAGGAGACATAAATGTGTCCCTTGAAAGGGGGTTCTGTCACTTGACCCTGCAGTCACGATGTTCTTCAGGAGGCAGGTGAACATTTCCCCAGAAACAAGACCAGTCGAGTGAGCAGGAGATGGTCTTTGTTACTTGTTCTTAACAAGGCTGTCCCTAATCCTCACCTCCTGTCCTCACTTCAGTGAAGTTATGCAATTAATGGATTACTTCAGGAAAATGAAAAGTGTTCATAAGAAGCTTGTCATAAAAGGCAGTTGTGGCAGGAAATAAAGCTTCTTCCATGTTCCGCCCACTAAATCTTCCCCTCTGACTTTTAGGAGCAGCTACCGGACCTGCACAGCCATTTTTGTGACCTTAACCTGGAGGCCCATATGTATGCTTCACAGTGGTTTCTCACTCTTTTCACCGCCAAGTTCCCGCTCTGCATGGTCTTCCACATCATTGACTTACTGCTCTGTGAGGTAGAGTGATCCCCTCTCTCAGACCTAAGCCCAAAGAGAAAGAGCATTGTTTCTGCTCACAGTGGTTTAAGTTGTCTTCATTTTCTTCTTTCCTGTGACATAAGCTATAAGTACTGACCAAAAAGTTCTATTTGAATTTTTAGTAAAGACTATTTTAATTGAAATTTTGTTATTTGTGAGAAATGAGAAAATTAAAGCTTATATAATTTCTACAAAGTAAAATGAGGTAACTAAATTTGCATAGTTAAGTTCATAATAAATCTATATGTATAATAATGGGCTACTAATTTAAAGGACCTTTAAAGTTAAATAAATAATTTAGAATCAGGTGTTTTTAGTAATAATGCAATTATATGCCAAGAGTTAAAGTTTTATAATAATTAAATACTCAATTCATAAGATTTTTCTTTGTATATGTTGTTTGAAACTCCATCCAGATAATAAAGAAGTGACAAAGTTTCTGCATCATATAGGTATATTTTTAGACAGTAAATATTTAAAAAAAGTAGTTTGCATAATTTCTTAGGTATCTCTAGTATTTATTTCTTTTATTGCTTTTAATTTCTTAGATGACTACATTTATTTCCTTTGTTCTCTTCAAGAAATAAGCAATATTACATATACATACCTCATATACTAACCATCAAAATGTTTGAGTCTTAGCAGTGATAGAAAGTTGCTGGAGAGAAGAATCTTGTAATTGGGAATACAAATGTGTATAAAAATATAGCTGTCTTAACTTTAAAAGTTGGAGTAGTCAAAAGAATAACCTAATAAAATCTAGGCAGTTTTGTATTACTGTATTACTTTTCTTACATAAGGTTCCCTCTTTCTTAAAAGAAAAGTCTATTTTAATTACCCTAGACACTAGAAATATAATTATAAAAGCAAGAATTGAAAAGATAAAATGAGTTAGCTGTATAAAGCATGATTATTATATCTCAGTCTACCATGACAGGGGCCATTTTGTGTAAGTGTAGCTGGGTTCAAAGGTTCTAGTTGGCAGTTTACAATGCTTGACGGTGCAGAGCATTTTGTAGGCAGGTAGGATTTTTAAAGATTTGCAACATATTTTGATAAAGAAGGGTCAAGCATCTTGCTGGGGGTCACAAAACAAGTTCCCACATTCTGAATGCACAGCAGCTAGAGAACCTGGTTGATAACACATTAATTCTACTTGTTTTACTTACAAATTAGATTCTAAAATGCCTATCTAAATTTAACCTTAAAGGAAGAATGCAGAATTAAGAGCTAAAGTCTTATTCAAAGTCAGAACAATGTGATCATTGGAATGGTGACTGTCTAAAGTCATCTCTACCTTATATTGGAGACTGTCCACGGGTCTTCTGGAACCCAGATATATAGTTTTTTAGGAAATTTCATCTTGAAAACACTTGAATTTCCAATGTCAGTTGCTAGGAAAAGTTAGCAACATTGACAGCAAAGAAAAGAAAATTTATAAGGCTTCTTATCACTTGTCAACTGTGATTCATAATCACCATGTTTGAAAGATCTTAATGCTCATGAAAATTAATAAGAGCATCGTAGGTAGATGTCACTTTCCCTTCTCTTAAACTGATGCGTTATAGCTGCTTTAGGAAGTTGCAGAGCTTAGCTCTCCAAAACACGGAGTAGGTTGTAATCACAACATTATGTTAACCAGGGAAATAAATAACAAACCTTAACAGAGCAAAGCAGCTTTGTAAAACAAACCTTGTTGGGAACAATATTGGAGTACGCTTCAGGATATTTGTTCTTTCCACTAACTCATCTTTGTCAGAGTATTATTTTGCAAAGGAAATTTTTAGATAAACTTTTATTTCCTGCCTGTCTGTGTTTTCTCTTTGCCCATTTCCTTCTTGTAGTTAATAAAATATTTATACTAAAGCTATTTTTTCAACATGTAATAAAATAGTCTAAATATTTTATTCTATTTAAGACTATGGTACCATACTACTATACTAGTAGAATTACCCATTTATGTTTTTTGTCATATCCTCTATTTGTTAAGGAAATAATTTAAATCTTGATAGTTATGAATTATGTTTAGTTACAAATGGAAAGCTAGGAAATTCTCAGATGGAAAAGTGTTAATTTTTAAAAAACTTTTCAGAGGCGCTTCTCCCCTTTACTGCCTCTTCAGTTATTACCCCTCTGAAGAGTCATTGCTATCCTGACTTTTAATGCCATAGATTAATTTTGATTGTTTTTGAACTGTATATTAATGGAATCACACAATATGAACTCTTTCTTATCTAGCTTTCTCATTTATCATTGTTTGTGAGTTTCATCTAGGTAGTTGCATGTGGCCATGGTTTGTTGGTTTCATTGTGAATATACCACTGTTTTCTCATTCTTCATGTTGAAGGGCATTTGGGTCATTTCCAGATTAGGGCTATTATGAATAGTGTTGCTGTGAACATTCTTGGACTAGTCTTTTGGTAAGCATACATACCACGCTTTTGGAATTGCTGGGTTGGGGCACCCATGCACTGAAGTTTATAGATGCCAGCAAGCAGTTTTCCAAAATATTCTGTACATTTCAATTTCTGTTGTTTTTATTCACTGAAAGTCTTCCTTATGGTCAAGGGCAGGTTTTTGGTTTATTTTTATTTATTTATTTTTAAATATAGTTTATTGATTTTTTTTTTTTTTTTTTTTACAGAGAGGAAGAGAGAGTTAGAAACATCGATGAGAGAGAATCAGCTGCCTCCTACACACCCCCTACTGGGGATATGCCTGCAACCAAGGTACATGCCCTTGACCGGAATTGAACCTGGGACCTTTCAGTCTGCAGGCCGATGCTCTATCTACTGAGCCAAACCGGTTTTGGCTGTTTTATTTTTTAAGAGAGCAGATCCTGGAGCAGATTAGAGTTCATGAATATGAAACAAAATACAATTCATTTGATAACTGAAGTCATTTACTTGGTCTCTGAAGTTGTATTTGGATGGGATTAAGAGTGGATCTAAGAGCAGAATTGTTTTTGTGCTTTTATGAGAGAAGTCAGCCTGATGGAAAAAATCTAGCAACACACTCAGAGCAGAAGCAACATAGAGATCATTTAATGTTGAAGTTAAGCTATTTGGCATTTTAGTTAACCCTGCATATATCACCTTCATGTTACTTGACCTATATGTGTCTCAGTTTCTTCATGTGTTAAATGAAGCTAACAATATCTCCCAGGTTTATGTAAATGATTATATGAAATTATGAATAATAAGGTACTTAGCACTGTGACTGTTATACAGTAAATATTCAGTTAATATTATCCTCAGTTCTACCTGTGTAGAATTTTAGTTGCTCTCAATTTCTTCAATTAACTAGCTGACTACAGAGACTCTTAAGAAAGGGTCAAGTAGCTATTGATTCTTTATTACCTTTCTAACAACCTTTGTCCACCCAACCCCCACATTCCCAGTGGAGATGTATCTGCTAAAATCAAAATTTTAGCCATTGACCTTAATGGAAGTTTCATTCTATTTCCTTCTTTTCCACCCTCCCCTCATCTGAGGATATTTTCTCATTGATGTTTAAAGAGAGTGGAAGGAAGAGGGAGAGACAGAGAAAAACATTGATGTGAGAGAGACACATCGATTGGTTGCCTCCTGCATGCACCCTGACCAGGGCCGGGGAACATGAACCTGCAACCAAGGTACATGCCCTTGACTGGAATTGAACCCAGGGCCTTTCAGTTTGAGGGCTGACACTCTATCCACTGAGCCAAATTGGCTAGGCCATTCTATTTTTATTTTTTGTTTGGTGATTTAAGTAGTCCTCCAAAAGTATTTTTTCCATCTTCTTTCAAAAGATGTAAGGAAAACAGTATTTCTTTTAACTTGACATGATAACTGACAGCTGGGGTTTGAAGTTGACTCTTCCAAGATAGTTCAATTTTTAGAGTATCAAATATATTCAGCTTTATATAGTAACTTGGTATTTCATGAAATTAAAGGAAATCATTGATATTTCAAATTCAAGTTTATTTCTTACCTCTCCTTTCTTCTTAGGATAATGAAAAAAAAAAGGTTAAAAATATCTTATTAAATACCACCAGGTATAATCCCCTTTCAAGGCAACTTTTCAAAGCTGTTATCTGAAGAGTAGATTTATTATATAATATTCTTACTCTTTGTCCCATTTTCCTCCCTCAAATAGTAATATGTTCAATTTTTAAAAATTGAGATATAATTGATATAACATTTTATAAGATTGAGGCATATAACCTGTTGGTTTGATATATGCTGGTTATATATTGCAATATGCTTACTACAGATGTTATTACTTAACATCTTTATCAAGTAATACATTAAATATAAAAAGCATCAGAATGGGCTGATTAAGGATTAAGGAAGATTAAGAATTCTAACATAAATATAAAACTTCTAAAAACTTTAAAGAGTAGTAATTGGCCACAAGAATAGGGAAGAGATTTTTGACTAAGCAGTAAATACTGTATAGGCTACTTTAAATTTTCACTTAGCAATAGAAATCTTCAGGAATAGAAAAAATTCTAAAATCTTATTTCTGGACCCTAACTTCTTTCCCACCTACAAACTCTTTGTGGTTCTCACATCAGTTGTTTACAGCTCTTTCTTGTGTCTTCATTAATTTTGTCATTACACAAGAAGCAGAACCATTAAAATGGTTAAAATGGCAGAGCCATTGTGCTTGTGCTTCTGGTGATTTTTAGAGGAATATTTACTTATTCTTTCATTCAACAAAAATATATTAAATGCTGACACCATTCAACGTTTGGGGATACAGCAGTATCCTTATAGAAGAGTCAGATGACAAACAAATGACTAAGTAGACTGTGTGGTAGATCAAAGGTAATAAATACTATGAAGAAAAACAAAAGAAGGAAGAGAAATGTGGCAGATTTTAATAGAACCTTTTGACCATTGTAGAGAATTTAGGTTGTATTGGACTGAGATGGGGAACCACTGGAGAGTTTTGAGTTGAGTGACATACTCTGATATATGATCACACAAGTCTCA